TCTCAACTCTCAGCTCAAACATGCAAGCTCTTTGCCAAATTTGACTGTCAGCTTAATCAATGTTTTTTTTTGGAATTTGAATTCAAACACGATCAAAACTAATCTTGTCCAACAAAGCTTTGTAGAAGTGTCTCAACTTAAGATTCAGCCAAATTACAGGATCAGCTCAATTTTCAAGTTCAAGTACCTACATATTAAAAGTTTAAGCATAAGTTCTGGACTTTCTCAGCAGTGGTTTAGCCTAATTTTCAAACTTCTTAGCCAAATGTGAATACTGTTCAAGTGTTTCATGTCAAAACGTGTAGCATATTTTTCCAGAAGTGTCTTATCTCAACTCTCAGCTCAAACATGCAAGCTCTTTGCCAAATTTGACTGTCAGCTTAATCAATGTTTTTTTTGGAATCTGAATTCAAACACGATCAAAACTAATCTTGTCCAACAAAGCTTTGTAGAAGTGTCTCAACTTAAGATTCAGCCAAATTACAGGGTCAGCTCAATTTTCAAGTTTAAGTACCTACCTATTAGAAGTTTAAGCTGAAGTTCTGGACTTTCTCAGCAGTGGTTTAGCTTAATTTTCAAGCTTCTTAGCCAAATGTGAATACTGTTCAAGGATTTCATGTCAAAACGTGTAGTTTATTGTTCCAGAAGTGTCTTATCTCAACTCTCAGCTCAAACATGCAAGCTCTTTGCCAAATTTGACTGTCAGCTTAATCAATGTTTTTTTTTTGGAATTTGAATTCAAACACGATCAAAACTAATCTTGTCCAACAAAGCTTTGTAGAAGTGTCTCAACTTAAGATTCAGCCAAATTACAGGGTCAGCTCAATTTTCAAGTTTAAGTACCTACCTATTAAAAGTTTAAGCTGAAGTTCTGGACTTTCTCAGCAATGGTTTAGCTTAATTTTCAAGCTTCTTAGCCAAATGTGAAAACTGTTCAAGGGTTTCATGTCAAAACGTGTAGCTTATTTTTCCAGAAGTGTCTTATCTCAACTCTCAGCTCAAACATGCAAGCTCTTGGCCAAATTTGACTGTCAGCTTAATCAATGTTTTTTTTGGAATCTGAATTCAAACACGATCAAAACTAATCTTGTCCAACAAAGCTTTGTAGAAGTGTCTTAACTTAAGATTCAGCCAAATTACAGGGTCAGCTCAATTTTCAAGTTTAAGTACCTACCTATTAAAAGTTTAAGCTGAAGCTCTGGACTTTCTCAGCAGTGGTTTAGCTTAATTTTCAAGCTTCTTAGTCAAATGTGAATACTGTTCAAGTGTTTCATGTGAAAACGTGTAGCTTATTTTTCCAGAAGTGTCTTATCTCAACTCTCAGCTCAAACATGCAAGCTCTTAGCCAAATTTGACTGTCAGCTTAATCAATGTTTTTTTTGGAATCTGAATTCAAACACGATCAAAACTAATCTTGTCCAACAAAGCTTTGTAGAAGTGTCTCAACTTAAGATTCAGCCAAATTATAGGGTCAGCTCAATTTTCAAGTTTAAGTACCTACCTATTAAAAGTTTAAGCTGAAGTTCTGGACTTTCTCAGCAGTGGTTTAGCTTAATTTTCAAGCTTCTTAGCCAAATGTGAATACTGTTCAAGGGTTCCATGTCAAAACGTGTAGCTTATTTTTCCAGAAGTGTCTTATCTCAACTCTCAGCTCAAACATGCAAGCTCTTTGCCAAATTTGACTGTCAGCTTAATCAATGTTTTTTTTGGAATCTGAATTCAAACACGATCAAAACTAATCTTGTCCAACAAAGCTTTGTAGAAGTGTCTCAACTTAAGATTCAACCAAATTACAGGGTCAGCTCAATTTTCAAGTTTAAGTACCTACCTATTAGAAGTTTAAGCTGAAGTTCTGGACTTTCATCTCAGCAGTGGTTTAGCTTAATTTTCAAGCTTCTTAGCCAAATGTGAATACTGTTCAAGTGTTTCATGTCAAAACGTGTAGCCTATTTTTCCAGAAGTGTCTTATCTCAACTCTCAGCTCAAACATGCAAGCTCTTTGCCAAATTTGACTGTCAGCTTAATCAATGCTTTTTTTGGTATCTGAATTCAAACACGATCAAAACTAATCTTGTCCAACAAAGCTTTGTAGAAGTGTCTTAACTTAAGATTCAGCCAAATTACAGGGTCAGCTCAATTTTCAAGTTTAAGTACCTACCTATTAAAAGTTTAAGCTGAAGCTCTGGACTTTCTCAGCAGTGGTTTAGCTTAATTTTCAAGCTTCTTAGTCAAATGTGAATACTGTTCAAGTGTTTCATGTCAAAACGTGTAGCTTATTTTTCCAGAAGTGTCTTATCTCAACTCTCAGCCCAAACATGCAAGCTCTTAGCCAAATTTGACTGTCAGCTTAATCAATGTTTTTTTTGGAATCTGAATTCAAACACGATCAAAACTAATCTTGTCCAACAAAGCTTTGTAGAAGTGTCTCAACTTAAGATTCAACCAAATTACAGGGTCAGCTCAATTTTCAAGTTTAAGTACCTACCTATTAGAAGTTTAAGCTGAAGTTCTGGACTTTCTCAGCAGTGGTTTAGCTTAATTTTCAAGCTTCTTAGCCAAATGTGAATACTGTTCAAGGGTTCCATGTCAAAACGTGTAGCTTATTTTTCCAGAAGTGTCTTATCTCAACTCTCAGCTCAAACATGCAAGCTCTTTGCCAAATTTGACTGTCAGCTTAATCAATGTTTTTTTTGGAATCTGAATTCAAACACGATCAAAACTAATCTTGTCCAACAAAGCTTTGTAGAAGTGTCTCAACTTAAGATTCAACCAAATTACAGGGTCAGCTCAATTTTCAAGTTTAAGTACCTACCTATTAGAAGTTTAAGCTGAAGTTCTGGACTTTCTCAGCAGTGGTTTAGCTTAATTTTCAAGCTTCTTAGCCAAATGTGAATACTGTTCAAGTGTTTCATGTCAAAACGTGTAGCTTATTTTTCCAGAAGTGTCTTATCTCAACTCTCAGCTCAAACATGCAAGCTCTTTGCCAAATTTGACTGTCAGCTTAATCAATGCTTTTTTTGGTATCTGAATTCAAACACGATCAAAACTAATCTTGTCCAACAAAGATTTGTAGAAGTGTCTTAACTTAAGATTCAGCCAAATTACAGGGTCAGCTCAATTTTCAAGTTTAAGTACCTACCTATTAAAAGTTTAAGCTGAAGCTCTGGACTTTCTCAGCAGTGGTTTAGCTTAATTTTCAAGCTTCTTAGTCAAATGTGAATACTGTTCAAGTGTTTCATGTCAAAACGTGTAGCTTATTTTTCTAGAAGTGTCTTATCTCAACTCTCAGCTCAAACATGCAAGCTCTTAGCCAAGTTTGACTGTCAGCTTAATCAATGTTTTTTTTGGAATCTGAATTCAAACACTATCAAAACTAATCTTGTCCAACAAAGCTTTGTGGAAGTGTCTCAACTTAAGATTCAGCCAAATTACAGGGTCAGCTCAATTTTCAAGTTTAAGTACCTACCTATTAGAAGTTTAAGCTGAAGTTGACTGTCAGCTTAATCAATGTTTTTTTTGGAATCTGAATTCAACAACGATCAAATCTAATCTTGTCCAACAAAGCCTTCTAAAAGTGTCTTAGCCTAAAACTCAACCAAATTACAATTTCAGCTTAACTTCCCTCCTTTCTCAGCAGTGGTTTAGCTTAATTTTCAAGTATTCACTAAATTTGAATACAGTCAACTTTCTAATGTGTAGCTTATCTTTGTTAGTCTTTCCAGAAGTGTCTCAGTTTAACTCTCAGGTTAAAACATTCAAGCTCTCAGCCAAATTTGAATCTCAGCTTAATCAATGCTTTTTTTGTAATCTGAATTCAAAAACGACCAAAACTAATCTTGTCCAATGCTCTCAAGTCCTAAATCATTTATTCAGTGACAAAAACAAAAGTCAAAAATATTAATTTGCCCATAAATTACTCTACCACCATTCAAGCATATACGGGGGGGAAGTTTTTAATCCAGTTTCCAGCTAAGCGCCGCATTGTTACCACGTATTCGCCATTGCAGTAATTATTATTTCATCCCCTAAACGAAGCCGAAACAAAAGGCCGATCACGACCACCTAGGGATAATTTCGTAAGTCAGCAGGGAGGATATTTACACATAAATATGTCCAACGCCCTCGATTTTACTCTGGATCAATGCATTATTTTTTTTGGTTGTAGAGATGTGTTTCTTGTTGCGTTCATATTTGCATTTTCATCCCTTCAAGAAAGTTCCCCAGCTTCACATTAAAACAAAGTGCATTCATTTGCAAGAATTAAAAAGAATCGCAAGTTGAAAGTATCTGAAATCTGTTTTAAGCAAAAGATAGCATATAATGTAAAAAAATATTATAGGCCAATTTAAATTCAGTCAACGTATAGAGCGCAACAAAGCAAACGTGCGCTGAGCATCTTAGATTGAGATCATATTGTCTTGGTTTAAAGTGTTGCTACGTTCCAAAATCCATTTGAAATAGAGTATCACATTGGTTGACGCAGTTGAGCGCAAATAACAATTTGACTGACGAAGAGAATGAGAAAATGACACTTGAAAAACACTCTCGTTTTGTGTGGTAGGGTATCTCTGTTTGCATTAAGGGGATTTTTGACTGTATGCAAAATCATTTGAGCCTTAGTCAAGTATGCTCTGTTTGTAATTCATTGCAAGTGAGGTTATGTGTGTCAGCTAGTGCCCAATTATCAAACTTTTGAAAATGCTTGTAATTTAAAGTTTAGTTAATATGCATCTTTGAATATTTGACTTCATCGATCCAGTTGTTTTCAAGTTAGAAATAAGATCAAATCAGGGAAATTTACTACCAACCAGATTTGATTTCAATCATTGATCTCCATGAACTATCTCTTCTTTTCCTTCTTCAGTCTATTCATCATCCATCCTAGGTATTCGTTGTCCCCTCTATAACAGGTATACGGTAAGGTAGATGTCAACTTCAAAACAAAGTATCAAAATGGAAAATTTTAATCATCATTTACTAGTAACTTTCTTTGTTTTCAGTAGTTATCGTGTATCTTCTGTAAGTTCTGAGACGTCCCTAGCTAACACAAGTAAACCTCGTATAGAACATGGCTACGATTGTGCACCTCGGCAATATCCCTTTTTGGTGAAAGTAACATTGGTCAAGGATGCAACTGATTACAGTTTCTTTATCGGATCTGGAACTTTGATCAGTCCAAAATGGGTACTCACTTCGGCCGTTCCGGCGTGTTTGAAAGAAATGGCTGACGAAATCTTTGGGTCACTTGGTATAAAGATTCCCAAATCTTGTAATATAAAGATTCATTCTGCTTCGGAAGATATCGATTGGGTATCTCTTGTTTCAAAAACCTATACTCATCCAAAATTTTCAGTAAATAAGAAGGACTTGAAATTCGAAAATGACATAGCATTGTTTGAGTTAATGAAAGAGGTACCCAAAACATACAACTTGAAATTTATAGCTCTACCTGAAAGTAGTACTTTCAATCCAGATTGTACAGAAGGTTTGATTATGGGATGGGGATCGAATGAGATAGAGTTACCAGTGGATTGGAAGGGAATAAATATGGGGGATTTGAAGGGAATAAATATGGGGGATATACTAAAAGTAGTACAGGAATTTCAAAATATATTTTCCCAGTTATCATCATCAGATAAACTCAAGTGTGGTAAGGTTCCTCTCATTTCCGACCCAACTTGCTCGAAGATGCTTACCGACGCTAATGCAGACCCATTAAACTCTGATCAAATGTGCTCTTTCTCAAAATCATCTGAGAAGAAACCCAATCCAGGATTAAGAGATTATGGGGGTCCGTTAATATGTGGAGACGTCCAAATTGGCATTATTACGGTATCGCCTAAAAAAATTAAGAACTTTTTTTTATCTTCTGGTACAGATGCTCCAAGAACTTATACCAAAGTATCCAGTCATTTGGATTTCATTCATGCAACTATGTCTGGATCTGGTAAAGTCCAGCAATACTTTATCTTTATTGTAATGAAAATAATTTTTGAATTATGGAATATATATCAGTGAATTTGATTAGTTTTTCTTTTCCGTCAAGAATAAGAAATTCGAAGAAACTTATGATAGAAGTAGCGCAAGATGAAAAGGATCGAATTGAAAAATTTCAAGTATTAGATATTGTTAAAGAAAATTGCTTATCAGCATTTTCCTTCATTGAGCTTTCAAATAAAACTTAATACAAACACTCTGGATTCACTTTATTTTTTTTTAGTGTTACAGTTCCCCTTCTTAAAAGGCTAAGAAATCAAAGTGACCATTAACACGCCCTTATTTACTCTTTCTCATTTTTCTTCCATTAGGCACACTATAAAACTTCAGCAAGGGCTCGAAGCACGAAACAAAAGTACCAATTCACACTATTATATTGCGTTTTTTCTTTGATATATCGAACTGGAACGTATTAAGGGCTGGCAACTGGCTTTTCGAGGATTTTCATCGATTCCCTGCCCAACTACCTCAGTCAGTTCCTGTCGTTGCTATCCGCCCTCCCGAAACCGACATTTTACTGCCAATAATATCCTTATGATATAACCTCTCCGCACTTATAGTATAAGGGATCGGAGAACCAGGTGCATTTTATTAGGGCGCTTAGCACTTCCCCAGAATACGTGCCTGAGGGTGGAATAGGAACACAAATTAGGTGACGTACTTCTATCTGTGCGATGGAAATAGGTTCGCATTAAAAGCCGTTATTTGAAAGTTTGATGGCAATGGCTGTCTATTTGAGAAAATTACTTTAAGCCTAGTGATGTACTTCTGTCCTGGTCTCTTGCATGTTACATGTTTTTAATTTAAAATAAACGCAAATTTTCAACAATGTAGGTATACTTTGAGCGTACTCTACAGTGTCGGCTCTTAACTCCTGAAATATATAGAGAACTCCAATAGGGTGCCCAGTGTAGCGTGTGCAAGCGGATTTACTCGGAAATGCAGCATATAAACAGTGTTCTTGCGATTTATCTGGAACAATTTCGGTCTGGAGAAAATTCCACGTCTATACACTCTTATCTTTATATCAGGTATGTAATTTTATTCTTTGCAATTTTGTCAAGCAATTTTTAAACCGGGAGACTACGTGATGTAAAGGTTATATCTTTGACTACCTTGGGTTAGCATGATTACCTTGGGACTAGACTTTGGTACTCCGTGACAACATTCAAAATCCACTGCAGTTTGGATTTTGTATACTTACTTGCCAAATTAACGCTCGGTACTTTTGGTACCACTATTCGTCAGTACTAGGTTTTACCATAATTGTGGTTAATCTTGACCTATTTTGATTATTTTTTGCAAACTGGTACTTCTCTCTCTTTTGGCTGCGTCGTTCCATGTACCATAGACATCGTTCCTTCGTCTATTTGACCTACTCACTGCTTGGATAAGAAAAAGCAGAAGCCTTTGCTTATCTAGATAATGAACAAAGATAGAATTTTTCCTAAAACATAATTTGATTGTACCATATTGGGTCTCACCCTCATTTTTTGGCCATTCTTTGGATCGGTTGCATTTTCAGGAAGTGTCATGAATAATTCTTGAAATTATCAAACCTATCCTTGGGGGATTTTGAATTATTTCACGCTGAATTATATTAAGTGCTCTATTTTACGTTAGTAGTTTCGTCATTTTCCTGGAACTTTCCACAATATCTTCGCAAGAGGATTCTGTTGCCTAAAGTTACACGCTGTATCATGTGCCAAACCCCTTTCGCCAAAATCTGCGCAAACGCCGCACAGTAAGTAGGGAAACCGAACGTAGTCTGGCAACATTGGCGTATTTTACAGGAACAATCCTATAAAACCAGCAACACCATGATCCCCATTTCGAGTCTACGTGTTTTGCTCTAACGTAGATCTCAAAGCACTTCTTAGTCTGTCTGACGGTATTATTGACTAGTGCCAATACCCGATGCTTACAACGAGAAACCAAGTGCAAAGTTTAGTTTCAAAGTGAATTTATCGTGAAATAGTGCGCATACCAAACAAGTGCCTAGTTACCCGATCTTAGGGCTCGCCCTAATGGGTTCGAGCAACCAGGGTATCATCAGAAGACCAGCCAAGAGGATCGTTGAGAACAAGGATAAAGAAGAAGAAGTGCCCGTTTACACCAAACTAGGAAAAATCACCATGCCTAAAGCCAGTCCCGTCCCATCATCGGATGAAGATATGGAACAAGCCTATATGCCTCACCAATAACCGTTTCGGGTTGTTTCTTTGAGATTAGCGGTTAATTGAGATAATTGCATACCTAGATGTGTTCGTCCGCACACCGATTTCTTTTCTATCCCTTCTTGATTGAGTCTTTTTACGGATAACTTGTATATGGCGGCTGATCCTCGTTATATGCAAGGGATGAAAGGTCTCTCTTCAGGGGCGCCGACTTTGTGGGTGCTCAGGGGCTCGAGCACCCACGAGCATAGACATAAAAACTGATAATCCTCTCTAGTTCCTGGAAAACTGGTTAATTTCGTACCTCGGGTTCCTGAAATCTGGTTAACCAAATGTCAAAATAGTTACCGATTATCGGATGTCAGTTCTGTTGGTTTTATCAAGATTTTATCTGTAACTTCTGTCAATTATGTTTTATTTCCATATTTGCATTCCCCAAAGTAACCGGAATTTTCAGTAAACATCTGTTGACCGATTCGGTTACTTTAGCTCTGTTCCAGCAGTCATGAAAACCTTTCTAGAACGGTAATTTCCAGTCGATCAATCCATTTGTCAATTAGGAAAAACGTTCAACTTATTGAAAAATAGGTGGAAAAATGAAAATTATTGGTTCTGGAACAGTTCTCATGTCTGTTGGAACAGAGATAATGGTTAACGTTTGGTTATATTTGGACCATAGCCTTATATAGGTTATGTTCCGATATCAACTCTGTCAGTACTGAATTCACTGGACGCCGTTCCGATATTATTTTCAGTACACTGGATTCAGTCGATTCAGTACTGAATGACCACAAGAGTACCCTGTTGAAATTGGAATGGCAAATGACAGTAAAATCAGCACAGTAAAACCAGTACTGGCAGTTGATATCGGAACATGGTGGTACTTTGTTTAGAAGAAGAAGAAGATGAAGAAAATCAAAAATCTTTTATGGCGAACAGCGTAAAACGCAGATTTTCGGTACATGCTGCTTGGAAAAGAATATCTGCAGGAGAGTTTTCACACTTTACAGTCGTGTTTTCACAGCTATCAGACCAATACCCACCTCTACCACGTAAAAACCCCCCTCTAGTACAGCCATCATACCACTACCCACCTCCACTGAGGAGGCACTTTTTACCCACCTGCACTGTAAACCCTCTTCCGTAAAGCCCTCCATTAATCTATTTTCAAAAGGCTCTTACCCTGAGATGGCACTTTATTATATCCCTTCACTTCCTTGAAAACTAAAGAATATTTAACCAATTATTCCATTTGTATTCGAATTCATCAATTTTGGAGTTGGCCCGGGTCAAATCCCCAAAATTTCAGCTCAAAAGTGCCGCCGATCTAGAGATTTTCCCACGGTATCGAAAAACTTCCCAGGCTCAAGTGTCCCCGACTATCAGACCAATACCCACCTCTACTACATAAGTGGTCCACCAGATTCACAAGCAAAATATTATTATTGCAATAAAATTAATCTCATGTAGTTTAGAACACTATTGACGAATAAAAATGCAGGAATTGTTGAAATATTCTTTAGTTTTCAAGAAAGTGAAGGGGTATGAAAAGAGGTACCTCTTCAGAGTAGAAGCTTTTTGACGTAGTGGAGGTGGATATTGCTCTGATAGCTGTGAGGTGGGTATTGGTCATAAACAGGTGTATTAGTTTTATTGCAATAATAAATATTTTGCTTGTGAATCTGCTAGTTTGATAGCTGGGGGCACTTGAGCCTGGGAAGTTTCTCGATACCGTGGGAAAATCTCTAGATCGGTGGCGCCTTTTGAAAATAGATTAATGGAGGGCTATGATGGCTATGCTGGAGAGGGCTTTTACGTGGTAGAAGTGGGTATTGTTCTGATAGCTGTGAAAACACTCTACTCTTTACCTTTATAGCCGTCCTTTTTTTCCAATTTTAGCAGACACCGCAAAAAACTTACGCAAGCACCAAGCAACACTAGTTCCCGCAGCTAGAAAACGAATATGGAAAGGTTGTTTGAAATGTATTACCATTCCCTTCTTAGACACTCGTCCGAATGTAAATTAAAGAATGCTGGTAAACGTTTTTGGGCGTGGCTTCTAAAGAAATTTAACATCAGCACCCACGAGGTTTTCAGAAACCCGGTGCCGCTGTCTCTCTTACTTCCTCTCCGGGAACTCCGCCCAGAACTAAATAAATTACGTATAAATTGGCGTTTCAATCTTTTCACTGTTGGGTCCGACAGTAGATCAAACCGGAGTAGAAGAATCCACAGCAACACCACCAAGAACCGGGGCACCCAAACCACCACCTATTATGGTCACCTCTAAGGTAAATTTTAACCAGTTTAAAATCACCATTATCGAACTGTTAGCTTCCTAAATTACCAAAAGAGATCAAAATATGTACTGAAACCCTAGAAGACCACGTACTGGTACGATCAAATTTAGACACTGATAATGTCCAAGAAATGTTAAATATCCCAAACCACCCTGAAGGGATTTTAGTCCGAGATTTAAACGCTAAGCACCCCGACTGGAATAACCACAACGCCAACACAGCCGTAAACATATCCAATCGCAACCCAGACGTAACAGACCTACAGATTATAACACCGGACCAACCCAGCACACCACAAGCAACCTCCATTACAGACATTGGAATCACCAAAAACCTACCCAGAGAACTAGGGACACTTAGACCGAATTGAATACCTGGAACAATGAACCCTAGTTGAATCACTAATGTCACACCTAAACAAAGAATTGAATAAGAGAATGCTATCATCCCACGATGAAGGCAACATATAGGAAGAATCAAGAATTTCACCCCTATGTTTGTATAATTAGCACTTAGTTCGTATATACAGTTTGTTCAAACATCAATCCAGCCGTATATTGCGCCTCTTATGGATTTAAAGTGCTTATTAAAGCAAAACCGTAACACCGAAAATCCAGGCAACAATTCGATTATCGGTAATTTCGACGCGAAATTAAAATTTAGCCCGTTCGGCATCGGCCGGCTCGAAATAAAATTAGCCTTTGGTGCCACTCTCATCTCGCTAGATCACGTACCGGAAAATTAATAAATATCCCCCGGCCATAAACTGGCAAATTATGCGGTGCAACAAGAGGAGTTTTAGCGAACTTTCCAAACAAATTCAGCTTTCCGACGTTATCGTTCTTAATCTGGATCGCGGAACTCGATTTCCGGGTCGCCCCGGCGTCCGAGAAACGGAAATGCCTTCAGAAACCGGAAACGGAGACCGGCGTCGGGATGAACAGATGTCGGACTCCGTATTACGTCTAGCCAAAACTTTTGTTGTTTTAGTTGGTTAAATTGTTTTAGCAAGATGCTAATCGGCGACTTATAATAATTATTTATGTCATTTGTTGAATTTAATTAATTAATTATCGATTCATTTATACTTTTATTGAAAACTAAATCACACTCCACATACAATCTTCCTTTGTAAAAGCATTTCCTCTTTAGGATATAGGTACTCCAAACTAGATGCAATAACAACAGAGAATGATAATCCCAAAACTTAGTTAAGCTTCCGGTAAGCCTAAAATATATAATCGGACCCGATAACCTATTACCGATAATGGCGCTTATGGACCGAATCCAATTTCCTATATTTCCATAAGTTCGCGCGTCTGGATGGAAATATGTTTTCGGCAAAACTATGCTGCCAACAAACAAAAAAATCGTACAAGAAAAACGAGAATCGTATAAGCATCAGCGATAAATATCTTTGCTATTAATTCTATTGGCAACTGAACTGAACGCGGAAGACTCTTTTACTCGTACGTGTCATGTATCTTGATTTGGCATCGAGAAGTCGTGTAAGCCGACTGAATTTCGATTTTATCTTCAATCGAACACAAACTGCTGCTTTTAGTTTGGTCTCCGTATAAAAAGTTTGACTATTCAAGGTTTTCTATGCGATTTTTGTAATGCTGGGATTTAATTATTATTACTTAGGTACTTACTAGTTTTTTTTTTTAAGTTGAAGTCGAAAATTTGTTACTGAGGATTCATAGAAGAGAACTATCTATTATATACATATAGGTACCTATATATATTGGGAAATGGACTGAGAAATAAAAGAACTTGTTAATTAATTATCGATATTCAATATATTTATTATATCGAACACAGCATGGAAAACAGAGCGTGTGAACTCATAGAACTAACTATACGAACTGACTCAACATCAAGACAAAGAATTACAAACCCTTTCTTGAGTAAACGATTCCTCATCTGTTTATCTGACATATAAAAACTATTATAAACACATTCAGTCATCCATATCTGCGATATAAATTAGCAAAGTATAGGCTGATAATCAAAGTTGAATTTATTAAATTTTTTGTTTCACTGATATGAATATCAGTTGATCCAACAATATAAACATTGAGAAGATTTTTCCGAACTATTTACTTGAGTTTGGGAGAGCAGTTTCATCCATCCAAAATCTTTTGAACTCCTCTTTTAAACTGTTTCAGTGTAGAAAGTTTTGCTTCATTTGGTAAATACCTAATTATGTGGCTATTATACATATTGCTAATGAAACTAAATAGGAACACTTATATTTATCAAACTAAGTAATTGCTCAATTAACATAGATAATAGGAAAATCATCGTTCTGAAAAATCCGTCTGATCCTAAATCTGAATTTCTTCCAAACAGTTTCAGCCAATAGTATTAATAAAGCCAGCAATACGCCCATCGCAAGCAAAAAATAGGGCATAAACATGTCGTTTATAGTTACTGAAATGACTCTGGCACTGGATAAACACTCCGGCTTGGCTGTCACCCAAGTTTTATGCAATTTTCTTATTATGCCACTCTGCCACATCTTCCTAAGGCTGGAATAATAAACAAAACTAACTTGAATGAATTTTTTTTTAATACATTTATTCACCTGATTTGAAATAGCTTCTTATACTGACTCTTTTTCTGAGCCATTAATGAAGTATCGCTGTTAATCAGAACGATTTCAGCCAAATCACAAATGGCGTCCTGAGCAAAAGTATCTCCTATGATAGGGTAAGCAGTAATGGACTCGGCATGAAATGCAAAATCACCTTGATGGACCTTCTTTATACCTTCTTCGGCTGTAAAAATATTTGGCGTGTCGCTTTCGTAGATTTTTGTTTTGTTGAGCAGATCCAAATAATGATCTTCTTTAACTAATATGTAATGTGTAAGTAAGTATACAAGTACAGAAAACTTCAATATAGTTACCTCTATTTTGCATATAAGTTATTGTATATGGTTGGAACTCTATGCCAACTTTCAGTTTACTTTCTAGAAGTTCCTTAACCGTTTTGAAAACTTCCGGCTCAGTGCTGATCAGCGACGACACCAAACTAGACGTGTAATAATTGTAGAGCAGTAATGAGCAAATTAAAAGGTACAGTAATATAATGCGGCTCGGCATTTGATTGGGGATTGTGTCTAGACCTGAAATTTTTTTCTAGTTAATGGACAAATCCTGACTTATCTAACCTTGTTGCGAAAAAGCAGCGATGACGACAAACACTGACCGATACCAGCGATTGTTGCCAACATTGTTTCTACGTTCGACGTAATAAGCAATTTCGATACACACGCACACTATTCCGGTGACGTATAGGGTGACCAGCCAGGATTCTTTTGCGAACGGTTTTAGTACTTCGTTGAAATTCGGTTTCACGAAACCGGGATTGCGGAAATAGAAACAAGACCTGAAAAGGTAAGTTTCGTTAAGAAGATGATAATAATGGTAATCCTAATAGCACAGAAACGTTTTGACAACAAAACATAAGATAGTGCCATGGCTTCATGGTACTACCTCACCAGCCGCGGCTGCAACCAATGATTCACTAGTTGTGGTCATTGTCATTGTCAGATTCTCGTCGTTTTCTGGCACCTTTTCCACCTCATCGTCCTCTCTCATCTCTTCCAAACTCTCGTTTTTTGTCCCCACCTCGAGATTCTCGTCGTCTTCTCCAACATTTTTTTTTTCCTTCTGCTACATTTTGTGTCAGGAAGTCAATAGTATCAAAATCGATATCTTCTTCATCCTGCATATTTTTTTCCGTAGCGTTATCGACATTCGCGTTGAGACATCAACGCTGAAACAACAACTTGAATGTTGATAGCGCTACCGAAAAAAAAAATGTAGGATGAAGAAGATATCGACTTTGATATTATTGACTTCCTGACACAAAATATAGCAGAAGCAAAAGAAAATGTCAGGGAAGAAGACGAGAATCTAAAGGTGGGGACAAAGAACGAGAATTTGGAAGAGATGAGAGAGAACGATGACGTGGAAGAGGGGACAGAAGACGACGAGAATCTGGAGATGGAGACAAAAGGACGAGAATTTGGAGGATATGATAGGGGACAAAGGCGTGGACGAGGGGACAGAATAAGACGAGGCTGGGGACAAGAAGGAGAATTTGGAGGAGATGACGTGGAAGAAGGGACAGATCACGAGAATGAGGATAGCACATCCTCATTCTCTACCCACAGCTAAAAGTCACAAGGAAGATCATAAATTAGGCATACAGGAGAAATCATGTGAAAAAAACGCGCTTTGCATCTTAGCTCTGGGTTGGTGTGGAAACGGTTGTTACCCTCTGTTTTCCTGGCGTATAAAGTGGAAATGGTTGGTTTGACGTAAAATATGTGAATAAAATTTTTTGAAGAGAATTTTCCAATATTTTTTTCCTTTCATAGCCAAAATAGTCATAGGACATACCGAAAACAAAATATTTGAGAAAAACTAATTTCTCTGACATTTAACCTGGAATATCTTGAAACGCAAACAAAATATCGGTGGGGACTTTTAATACATTATAAGTATAATAAAAGTAAAGGTGTATTCAAAGTTACAGCTCACTCTGATTTTTTCAGTAGATGAATCCTTATATTACTGTACTAGTATTCCAGCTAGCCTATTCACTTGCAAAGGAATAGCCAGAGGTATTTACAAAGGCTTATTAGAAGTGGAAATAGTCGAAAATACAAAATCCGTTGCAAATGTTGTTGAGGCCAGAGGGCTAAAGACGAGAATAACTGAAAATGGTGATAGTATCTATGTAAACACTGAATCAGTGATGTTTACATTCCAAGGAAAAGTGATGCCAAGGTCAGTAAACCTGGATTTCTGTGATGTAATGATCTCAGTCTATATAAGCCCAGTATTGATGTGGATATGGTCATACGGCCAAACATTGCCGAGGCAAAAGTTATATTGTAAGACCCTATGTTATCATTATACTAATAATTCTCCTTTCCTATGTTAAATATAAGCGTACGCCTCTGTCAAAACTTATAATAATGGAAACTGCTGTTTAAGCGGTACACTGCACTGCAAGTACCACCATTCCGCCAACGCAAATGCTGACATCAGCAGTTATCTCTTATAAATACAGCGTACAGAGCTTCCTGGAGCTCATTCTAATATTTTCAGCCAAACTATAGTAATTAGAATCACAGGTGAATTTGTTATCGACTTTTACGTCGCAGCAATTTGATCACATATTTTCTTTTGTCACCATTGTATTTTAAATAATAAAATAAATGTTTTTAAAAAATACAAGTTTCTGAATCGAATATATAATTCAAAGATGTCCGATATGTGCGGAAGAGCAAGAAGAAAGGGACTGTGAACAAAGCACACCTAATTGCCTATACTGCAACATGGAACATAAAACCACTGATAGGCCAATGCAAGGAATATCTGAGACAAAAAGCAGTCAAGCAAAGAAAAAACAACCGAAAGGAGATGAAAATATAGGACAGAGAGGGAACTTGGATCATAGAGACTTTCCAGTTCTGAATCCCACAAGAAGAACTTCAGAAGCCAGTAGACCAATTGAAGTGAATTAGAGACATTTATACATATCAACTCTTCAACTCCAAGGAAACCATCATATGCTTCGGCTGCATGTAACCTGAAAAGAAAAAATCCCTGTTCGCCAGGGTACGACAAAGAAATGCACAAAAAATGTCTGATTCGTGCTTCTGCTAGAACGCCTACTCGAAGGAATACAAGGGAAGGCTCGCCAGTTGGTAGTGCCTAAGTACTCGTTTCAGCAAACACCAATATTAGAGGTTGTAAAACAACTTATTGGCAAGACAACATTAACGCAGGAGGTGAAAGATGTAATTATGGAAGAAATCCAGAATGCAACCCAACCCAGGAATCTGGGGGATCCGATCACGATTTAGACAATCAATACCTTTTGGAAGATGTACACGCTAATGTCTGGAAGAGGCCGAGAGACAAATAATTCTATCAACAAAACAGTACACCATGATGATCTAATCAGAGTAGGTAAGGAAGAGACATGGGAGCAATGGGCTGTGGAGAAATCATTCAAACTAACGAAGAAACCCCAAAGAACACGTTGGTTTGCAAAAATTAAAAGGGCTGACAGACAAAAAACTAGTGTCTTGCAGAATCAGAACGGCACATTGCCTCATACCTAAACACAAATACAAACTTGGCATGCAGGACAGCCAGAATTGTGAATGTGGTGAAGTGGGTCATACCAATCATGTGCTCTTGAACTATGAGCTGAATAGAGGTCCGACAAATTGGTTGTATTCAAGACTGAACAAGATGGTAGGAGGTCCGATACAGATGGAGGAAATTCTTGCAAACCCAACTAGCAGAGAAGCAGTTATGGATATGGATTGTATCAAGAAGTTTGATATAAGAATCTGAAAATAAGCAGTAGCTCATGGGGACAGTTATGTATTGTAGAGTGGTGCTATTTGGTGGGCTGCATGATTTAGGGCCGGTTTATCAATCCAGGGATAACTCGCAGAGTTTCCTGACGCTGAGTCAACTCTAACTCTGGGCTAACTAGCTTGTTAAGTCGAAAGGTGTTCATCCAAGCTTTTTTAACCCAGGGCTGGTAAACTCTCGGGTTCTTCGAAGGTTGGCACTACTTATGCAACGTTGCCAGCTCACTTTTATTTATTTTTTCACATTTTCTGCTCATAACCTTACTTAATCATGTTATTTTTTTCGTTTCTGTAGGGTATTTATACCAAAGTAGCATGCGACGTGCTACCGTGCAACTTGCTGCTAGAAAGCAGGGAGCACGTTAGAACTTGAGTTTTCCATGTTTACATTCATACCAAATTCCATTTGAAGATGCACATGTTTACAGATTCGGATATATATCGTTTTGAATGTAACACTTGCAAAGTGAAATTTAAACGAAAAGGTGTTTTGAAGAGGCACATGTTCACACACTCGGATATTTATCCTTTTGAATGTTACACTTGCAAAGTGAAATTTAAACAAAAAGGCAATTGGAAAATGCACATGTTAACACATTCGGATATTCATCCTTTTGAATGTAACACTTGCGAAGCAAAATTTAAAACAAAAGGCGTTTTGAAGAAGCACATGTTAAAACACTAGGATATTTATTCTTTTGAATGTGACACTTGCAAAGCAAAATTTAAAATAAAAAGCGTTTTGAAGATGCACATGGTGACACACTCGGATATTTATCCTTTTGAATGTGACACTTGCAAAGTAAAATACAAACGAAAAAGCGATTTGAAGAGGCTCATGTTATCACACTTGGATATTTAATCTTTTGAACGTAAAACTTACAAAGCAAAATTCAAATGAAGAAGACCATCTCAAAAATCACATATTTACACATTCGGATATTCATCCTTTTGAATTTGACACTTGCAAAGCAAAATTCAAACGGAAAGCGATTTGAAAAGGCATATATCATATCATGCGTGCGACCGTGCGACTTGCTGCTAGAAAGCAGGGAGCACGTTGCAACTTGAGTTTTCCATGTTTACATTCATACCAAAGTCACACAGTGCTACCATATTTATCGATACACCTCTACGCAACAAGTAAAAAATAAACAACGTTTGTGCGTCTTGCAAGTACGTCGCAAACTATTATAATATATCTACATGTTCCAATCACTCCGGTGTGAAACCAGGCATTTATTTCTAGGTCAAAGTTCGAAATTAATAGGTCTGTTTCTGCAGAAATCACAAACCAGTCAGAGTGAATTTCATTGGTTATTTGCTCTGACTGGTTTGTGATTTCTGCAGAAACAGACGTATTAGTATGCTTCCTGCTTTCTAGCAGCAAGTCGTAGATCGCATGCTACTTATTTGATGTGAATACCCGGCCACTAGCGGAAAGCGAAAAGTTTGGTTTCGTGTATTCTGTGTATAAATAAATATTATATTCGAATTCTCAACAAACATAGGTTTGTTGGGAATTCAAGTCTATGCTCGATTTTTTCTAGAATGAATAAAATTGTTTCTTTCCGTAAGCGAAAACTTGCGAAGAAGTGGACGTCGTCAAAATCCTCAAAGGGATTTGACCGATACCTTAGGTGCCTGTGGTAGAGGCGCCGCTCATGCATGTTCCAGAAATTCTAGAACATCTTGACCATCATCACTGAAATCCAGGTCCTCCATCTCTTCACAATATCAAAATTCAAGCCAAAACCAGCACTTTTAAAAAAAAAATCAGATAGAAAATTAGAGAAAATGTTGAGGTTAACCTCGGGTCAAATACGCTAACTTGCCGCGAGAGTGCGGGTTAACTTTTTCCTGGAATAACTTTCGAGTTTAGCAGTTGACCCTGGATGAATAAACACTCGTCACAACTTTGACCCAAGGTTATCCGTAACTCATGGGGTAACCCTCTATTGATAAACCGGCCCTTAGAATGCTAGTAGGTGCTAATGCTTATAAAATATAATCTGTTGTTATATGTTTATTTTTTTCAGGCACAAATCCTATTTACTCCTATGTTCCTGGCGTTTCCAAATACCCAGCTGTACAAACCACAGCAATAAATAACCTACTCATTCCCAATCAAAACCTAAACTATTGGCAAGTGAATTTACCCCACCCCAATGCACTAGAGGACACAAGTGATAGGATTCCGGCTAACTGTTGTTTGAAGACAAGGGGCCATTGGTAAACAGGAAGAAGAAGAACTCCTACAACTTTGTTTTTGGAGCATGTAGATCAACAATATCCTTTCATTATCGCTATACCTGAATTTGTAATAGGGCATTATAAAATCGTAAAAATCCAGCCGCTCAGTGCCCAAAAGCCTCATAATACAACCAGCGCTGCTTATGTCTATGGTGTCGTCCCATAGCATTTTGGCCAGACCTCCATCTTCTCCGCTAGAAGTGTTTCCGAACCAGGAAAATGGCAATGTTGTATTGTAGTCGAATCCGTGAATCTCGCCGAGTCCGAGGAATAGCTGATAATGGAATTTGCTGTAGATGTCGTATTTCATTAGTTTTGTGTCTACCATGTAGTCGTGGAAGGATGTCTTGAATGGATATCTTATCTATTGAAAACAAAATTCTTTGAGGCAAGCTTTTCTTTATGTTGAGTACTAATTCTTACCACATTAGCTGAACGAACAAGGACTCCAGACATATTTTTCCTTGCCTCATAGTAAGACTTATTATCATTCATTATAATGTCTCCATTGATTAATTTACCAATATAACTTAAATTACACGTTTGTGAATCAAAAACAACAAATTTATAACAATATTACCGTATTTGAACACCAACATTGATTCCTGGATTAAAAATTTCATAAATTTCAAAAGAATTGTTTTGGACATCCTGGTGAAAAACTTTCACATCCATATCCATTCGTGTTTTAAGTTTCTCAAATATGGTCGAAATATCTGTAAGTTTCCTGGCTTTATCCAGAAACAAGAACCAACTGTAGAGGAATTGAAATTTTCCAAATTTGTCCTGAGTGGAAGCCTAAAATATCCAATATTGAAACCAATCTCATTGGGGTTGAAATCAAAGTATATGTAAGCGAACCTCCTTTAAAATCTTCTCTGCTTTTCCGCATTTCATGTCCAAATAATAAGTGAGTTTCTCGTATTTCTTCGTATTTATTTTTGCCAACGAATCGCTTTCAGCTCTGGCGAAAACAAGACGTACAAACTCGAGATCCTTGTCGGACGATATCGTTTTATGCATCATAACTTTATCTGGAAGGAAACGGGAAAGAGCGTTTTAATAAATAAATTGTGTCTTAGTAAGGTAGCTGAGGAATAGGAGTTAAACAAAAAAATCTTGCAATAATTAAGATGATCCAGATTTTACGGCAAAAATATTTGAAAAATGAATCAAATCAAATCCAAATTTGAAATACATTAGAAAAAGGAGAATTTGTTGTCATTTGAATGTTCACAGTTCACCAAAGTTCTATTCTGACTTTAACTCTAGGACTACAAGACAATTTATCCGCTTGATTCGTCCATTTTTCACCTCGTGCATATTTAAAACCTGGAAAATGAAAATGTTTCGAGAAAATTGATAGCCGGGCCGTAAACTTGAGTGCGTCATTTTTAAAATTTAACCGTTTTGAACTTAAAGATATCTGATTCGAACCAAACCTTGACGTTTCCAGCAAGTAAACAACACAACCAAATTGGGTCGGTAAACTTTTAAGCAGCTCAAAACAGCTTGAAATTGCGGCTCGGATTGGCACCAACTTGTCAGAGTAAATATCAGCAGAAATACGATCCGCAACATGCTGAGGAAGTAACAGACAGAGCAGACGTGAAAATTTATAAGTTTTGGCTTCTACTACTACAAATAAGAGAAAATTGGTGTTTGAGGAGCGGAAATATGTAAGGAAAATTATTTACTTTCAAGATGAAAATATTTTGCAATGGTTTTATATGTCTTTGTGATAACTTTCATATTGAATGAAATTGTATTTTTAAGTAAAAACAAATTATTTTTTTAATTCAAATCACCAACAGCTGCTACTTTACTTAGATTTGGTTGAGGAGGGCAAAACTTTGTTACTATGGTTGATTTTAGATTAATTAAAACTATCATTATATAATAGTTATTTATGGTACTAGTGTGTTATGTTGAAAATAAGTCACGCGAGAAAGATTTATACCACGAGGCCGCCAGGCCGAGTGGTATAAATTCTCAAGTGACTTAGGAAACATAACACACGAGTGGCATACAATGTTTTATCCAACAAGTGGAAAATATAATTTTTTAATGAGATAATAATTAATAAGCTTTGTGATCAAATCAAAGCTACTTGCGTCTTAATGATGTCATTGGTCTCAGTACCCTATAAATGTCAGAATGACTTGACAGTGACTTTTTTATATTTTTGTCAAAGCACATACAGTAGGATGTTTGATTGGTTGCTACGGGCATGATACATTTTACATAAATTGCTAGCAAATGTTTAAATACATTTTGACACTTGTCAGCTTTCCCTGCAGAAAAGGGAAGCTTCTTTGAAGAAAAAAACGAATAGAAAATGGAGGAAACCGATGAAAATCACGTTCCTGAGGATATCCTTACCGAAGCAGAAGAAGCAGCGATACAGATTTTGCCAATCAAGTCCCGAGATGCTTACGACAAGGAGTTCAAAATGTTTAAGTCTCACGTAAGATTGAAGGTATCGATGAAAATATTCTATTGAACCAACCAACAAATTTTATAATGACTCCAAATTCGAATAAACCGTTAGCGTTTTCCTTTAATTTCAATATCAATGTGAATTTGGTTTGTAATAAATAAATAGAATACTACTTTAAATATGAACGTGAGTTATAATCCATAACTCACTAGTGAGTTATGGATTATAACACACTAGTGTGTTATTTGATAGTTTACTTGTCTGAAATGACATTAATAATACCAGTCATAACTGTCATATGTTGGATAAAATATATTAAACTCCAAATTATTATTTTGCTCCACTCTTTCCTTACCCCTGCCGAATCTCTGATAAAGAGAGCCCATAAAGGAATATTAAATTTCTTTCCTTCCGAGTTAAAAATTCAGAATTACGTTTACATTGTCAGCATTAAAGTTTGAAGTTTGATTGCAGCTTTGTGGACTTAATGCAATTCCATAAACAAAGTAACTTTGGAAACTTGATACTTAAGAATTCCTTTTCGAAAGTTATCTGTCTGAGATTTTTAAATGGAAACTTTACCCGCGGAATGAATGAATTTTATTATTTTTTAATATCATAAGTTGCTTCCTGAAGTAATTAAGTTGCTAAAAATTTGTTTTTGCAATCGATAAAGTTGGTTTTAAATTTAATTCAGACTTGAGAAAAAAATTTCCGTCTGAAAATACTATAAGCGCTCGGCAAATTGCCCTTTAGACGTAATTTCCGTTCTTTTAACAGGTTGACTGGAGCCCTCTGCGAAGGAAATTTACTTTTAGGTGAAGAATGTTATTTAGGCAAGGTAATGGAGGAACAACGTTTGAGCTAAAATTTCTCTGATGTATTATAGGTACCTTATATAATAAGCTAGACGATAAAGAAATTCTATACTAAGAACTATATTTGATTAAAGGGTTTTAATTTCTTGTGCACTGACGTAACTAGCCATCTGACCTGGGGGGGCCTAGGGTAGGCCTGGCAATGGCGCCGATTTTCGAAATTTCTTATAGGTGCAGGATAATATTTTTATAAATTTGTTCATAAGGGAAGGGGGAAGCTCGCCGTAGGCGAAAAATTTTTTCCGGATGCCACGCCCAAAAATTTCTATTTTATAGTGTATATGTTACGGTTAATATGCAAACTTGGCTAGCTGAATAGTTTACAAACTAACCAACCCCTTGGCTATTTTGATAGAAAACGCAATTTTACTAAAATGGCAGCTAGTTTGCAAACTAACCAAAAGTCTTGGCTAATTTACTTGAAATTATTGAGAAAACTAAATTAGCTGGTTAGTTTATAAACTATCCAATGTAGCCTGGCTAATTTGAAAACCATAATTTCTAGTAATACAAAATAGCCAAACCTTTGGCTAGTTTATAAACTAACCAACCAATTTTCTGGCTAATTTACAAATAAAGTATATTGTTCATGGTATTTGTTATTCGATAAATTAGAGATGAATAAAATGAAAATTTATGCTTTTTTCTTTTTTACCTGGCAATTTTCACATGCATCGAGGAACAAAGTTACAATTACTTGGGTAATATTTGATTATTTTTAATTTATTAGCTTTGTTGTAACTTGTCTTTCGCCTTGCCCAGTGGATTGGTGAGATTATTTAATAATATCAAACAAATCGTCCATACAAGCTAATATTTTGCCAGATTTCCTTCGTTGTAAAGTTGGGAATTATGTTCTTTATTATTATACAGATCTTTTAAAGAAGCTTCAAATTCTTCAACCTTACTTTGTAAATTAGCCAGAAAATTGGTTGGCTAGTTTGTAAACTAGCCAAAGGTTTGGCTATTTTGTGTTACTAGAAAATATGGTTTTCATATTAGCCAAACTGTGTTAGATAGTTTATAAACTAACCAGCTATTTTAGTTTCCTCGATAATTTCAAGTAAATTAGCCAAGACTCTTGGTTAGTTTGCAAACTAGCTGATATTTTAGTAAAATTTGCGTTTTCTATCAAAATAGCCAGTGGGTTGGTTAGTTTGTAAACTATCCAGCTAGTTTTAAAACTAATCAAGTTTGTATATTAACCTTAACATATATATTTTTCTATTTTTTTCTACGAGCGTGCGAAAAGTGCTTTTTTCTGCACTTGCTTCAGGCCATGAAAATATCATTTTTCCGCACCTAAAATAATTATGCAATGTAAGGTTATCCTGATACTTTTATTATCAAATAATAGAGATGGAGAATAGCAACATAGCAATGTTAAGTAATAGAGCATAGAATTGACCACAAATAACGAAAGGACAGAATACTAATACCTTCCTAATCTAAGACTAATACCACTTGTATAATTCTTATAGAAAGTTGTGTAAATTTAAATTACATGATACTGATACTACCACACAGAACGGAAGGACCATTAAATATGTTTGTACTTCCGCATTCCTCACGAGAGCTCCGAGCACCCATGAGAGGTTGCTCATGGGAGCACCTGCCCGAGTGTCCCCATGTAGTTGGCGCCAAAGGGTTGGAGCCTGTTATTGTGACTTGGAATCTTTAAAAAAGTAGAACAGTGCATTATAGACAATTAGCTGGCTAAACCGGGCTTAAAACACTTACCTTGCTAACCCAGCTTATCAGTCACTGTACAAAATAATATCAACACCGATTCACGGATTCACAGGAAAAATATTTTTTCTACGAGTGTGCGCAAAGCAACTACTTTGCGCACACTTTTGTGTACGCAAAGAAGCCCTTTCCCAAAAGTGTGCGCAAAGTAACTACTTTGCGCACACCAGAAAAACGACGCGAAGCGGAGTTCGGATAAGCTTTAAGTGCGATTAGGAAAACTACTATAGTCAAACTCCCAAATTAATCTGTTATATTGCTAATGCTAATTTAATAGCTTTAGTATACTGTATCACTTCAGGAGTGCGTTCGAAATGACCCTGGGCGTCACACCGAGTGCACACCAGTTATGAATTTTTCATGGCTGGTGTGTACTCGGTGTGACGCCCAGGGTGATTTCGAACGCACTCCTGCACATTGCAATTTGCACCGACCTTGGGATGGCATACAGCACTGTTCGTTGGTGAATCAGAGGATCGGATAGGGTCAATCGGGATCGCCACGCCTTATCGTTCAAATTTAGTAGGTAATAACATAAAATTATAATAGGTAAGGTAGCTTTCATATAATACCAAATTATTAAAGTTTTTTCTGGGGGGGGGCCTAGCGACGTCTGGGGGGGGCCTGGCCCCCCTAGGCCCCCCTGTAGTTACGCCACTGTTCTTGTGGTGCGGGATTTTTGATTTTTTGGTAGGAAATTGTTAATTTTATCAAACAAAGGCTTATTTCTTAGTATTTCAATAACAATAAATGCAACAGTTCATCCTACTTTCTTTTTCAAGTCACCTTCACCCATTTCTAGTTTACATTTTTCATTTTCTGGTTTTTCTACTATTTTCCATAGTCTCCAAAGTTTCTAAATTTTTTTGGAACTGCAT